ACTTTTCCATGAGTGATCTCCTTGGGACAGACAAAAGCAGGGCCCCTGTTGCAATTCTCCTTTGTGCTGGAGATCGCTTGCATGAGGGGTGTGTGAATATAACGCAGCTGCTTCCCATTCAGCAAGGGAACAGATCCCTGTTGATCACAACTGGTGCAGACAAGTAAGTGGGGACTGGGGATTTTCAAGGCCCTAATGTATCCCTTAAACTAGGAAATATGTAGGGATTGTGAATATGAACTAGTCATGGATGTGTAACTCTAGCATACGCACTCCTAGAGTGAACTTCATCCATCATGTGTTTTTTTCCTTTCTGTATAGGAGAGTAAGTATACCACTCTGGTTACTGGTTTGGTGTATCAGTCAAGAGATTTAAGAGGTGTTCTCCTATGTGCTGGAGATTGCTTGTATGACTCAGGAGTGTGTCCAGAGGATGGCAACCAAAATGGTGAAAGGTCTGGAAACCATGTCCTATGAGGAGAGACTTGGGGAGCTGGGTATGTTTAGCCTGGAGAAGAGATGGTTAAGAGGGGATATGACAACCCTCTTTAAATATTTGACGGGGTGTCATATTGAGGATGGAGCAAGCTTGTTTTCTGCTACTCCAGAGATTAGGACCCGGAGCAACAGATCCAAACTGCAGAAACGAGATTCCACCTCAACATTAGGAGAAGCTTCCTGATGGAAAGAGCTGTTCAACAGTGGAACACTCTCCCCCGGAATGTGATGGAATCTCCTTCTTTGGAGGTTTTAAAACAGAGGCTGGATGGCCATCTGTTGGGAGTGCTTTGATTCTGTGTTCCTGCATGGCAGAAGGACGTTGGACTTGGTGGTCGTTGGGGTCTCTTCCAACTCTGTGATTCTAACCCTTGTATAGACATGGCCTGAGATCCTGCATCAGCAGATGTAGCTACAAAGACATAGCTACATATGTATGTAGCTACAAAATCTCCCAATGCTACCCTCCAAAATCTGCCTTTGAAGCAGTGTAGCCCCCTCCACATATGGCCCTTTTCATGTTGCTGGAGAGCTGAGGGATGAGTGGGGACTCATCCTTCTCTTTTGCAGTAGCTGGATGTGCTCCAACAGGCATCTGCAGAGACCTCTCTTGCAGATGCCTGTTGCAGGTCTTCCAACTTGTGCTATGACTGTAAACGTGAATCATGATGGCATGAGTCAGGCGTATGCCATTGTAATGCATAAACTGATTGCCAGCCATGATGATTGCCATAAAAGTTAAAGAGTTTTTAAAATTAAGTTAATTAACATGTGGCATATGATGTCAGTCCATCTTAGTTATACAACACAAAAGAGTTCGGCAATGCGTTGGCATGACTGTGATAATCAAGGTTCTTATAGTCATCTTTCGTAGTTCTGACCTTGTCTCTTTAAATTTCAGTTAGAAGCTTTCAGCCATGTGTTGTGTTGTGTTGTGTGCCTTCAAGTTGTTTCCGACTTATGGTGACCCTAAGGCCATGGGGTTTTCTTAGCAAGATGTGTTCAGAGATTTGCCTTTGCCTTTTCCTGAGGCTGAGAGAGTGTGACTTGCCCAAGGTCACCCAGTGGGTTTCCATGTCCGAGCAGGAATCGAACCATGATCTCCAAAGTTATAGTCCAATCAGGCTACAGGGCAAGAAATAAGAATGTCATTGAATTTAGAGTTATTGTCTAGTTTGTCAAGGAC